CGTGAGATCAGTGGTGAAGTTGGGAAAGAGGAAAAGAAGAATCGTAAGCTTGATTTGCCAATCTTTAATGGTGCTGACCCATTCGGGTGGTCCTTTAGAGCGGATCGATACTTCACCATTAACCATATGGTAGAAGCGGTCGCTGTTTGCATGGAAGGTTGAGCTCTGAGTTGGTATCAATGGGTTGAATCCAGAACTCCATTTCGGTCATGGGAAGCATTCAAGGCAGCTCTGATTGATCGATTTCGCCCATCATTTAAGGGATTTACATATGAAGCTTTGGTGGCTTTGAGACAAGAAGGAATAGTCACTGAATATAGAGAATAATTTGAAGCTCATGTTGGCCCATTGAAGGAGCTGGGAGAAGAGTTGCTGAAGGGAATTTTCGCTAATGGGTTAAAGGAGGACATCAAGGCAAAATTAAGGCTGAGCCAACCCAAAACTTTATTTGGGTTAATGGACCAAGCCCATCGGGTGGAAGAGAGGAATTGGGTTATGGAGAGAAATAGGCCCAAAATTAACAAAAACCAAATGGGAAGGATAAAGTCTTACACTTGGGTTAGCCCAAACTCGGATCTGCCACGTTCAAATTGGTGGAATACCAATTCAAAGCCTCTAGATCCAAGCTTCATTTCATTGACTCCAAGCAAGAGCTTCGAGTAGAGAGCGATTGACTGAGATGACAGGATCCAATAATAGGGGAGACAATTTTTAGCGACTCTTTGAAGCGGAAATCCAATTCAAGCGTGAACGTGGGTTGTGCTACCGTGGCGACAAAAAGTTTGGTCCTAATCACAGGTGTAAGAACAGGTCACTTCAAGTGCTTTTGCTCATGGATGACGAAGATTTAGCTTCACTGGAACCCGAGACAGAACCAGACGATGAGCCTAATAATGAAGGTAATCCATTAGCACTCTCAATGAACTCTATTGTGGGTATTTCTTCTGATAAAACTCTGAAATTGGAGGGCCAAATTGGAGTTAAGAACGTGGTTGTGTTGGTTGACAGTGGGGCATCCCACAATTTCATTTCTCATGAGCTTGTGCAAAAGTTAGGATTGAAGGTAGATAAGGGGAGATCTTTTGGAGTAATGGTGGGAAACGGGTGTACCATTCAGGGGGAAGGAATCTGTAGAGTCGTTCGGTTGAAACTCCAGGGACTTGAGATCCAATAGGAATTTTTTCCTTTTGAGTTAGGTGGCGCAGATGTAGTGTTGGGGATTACGTAGTTGAGCACTTTGGGAGATTAGAGTTCCAACTAGATGAGGCTAACCATGGAATTTGACTAGGAGGGAAAAAAAGTAATGTTGCAAAGAAACCCCTCGCTGGTGAAGACGGAGGTTTCATTGAAGGCAATGGTCTGATCCTTGCAATCTCTAGGGACTAGCTATGTAGTCGAGTTTGGGGCTATATGACTGAAAGAAGAACCAGTGCAAGAAGAAATAGATCCTAAAGTATCAAGGGTGATAGAAAATTATAGCCATCTGTTTGATCAAATCACCACACTCCCACCCCATAGAACCCACGACCATGCAATAGAACTTCAGCCAGGATCCAAACCCCCTAATGTCAAGCCATATAAGTACCCGTACTTCCAAAAAAATGAAATCAAAAAACTGGTTGGGGAGATGTTAACTGCAAGAATTATTCAGCCTAGCACTAGCCCTTATGCAAGCCCTGTCCTGTTAGTCAAGAAAAAAGATGGGAGTTGGCACTTTTGTGTAGACTATAGGGCATTAAACAACCTCACAGTACCCGACAGATTCTCAATCCCGACAATTGAAGAGTTGCTTGATGAATTGGCTGGGGCTACAGTATTCACTAAGTTGGATTTAAAATTAGGATACCATCAAATCAGGGTACGAGAAGTAGATGTGCCTAAGCAACCTTTCAAACTCATAAGGGACATTACGAGTTCCTCGTTATGCCTTTTGGCCTTACCAATGCCCCGTCAACCTTCCAAGCTTGAATGAACTCAATCTTTAGACTTGCCCTATGAAAATTTATCCTGGTTTTTTTTTACGTTATCCTTATCTATAGCCCAAACATCGCCACTCACCTACAACATTTACGTTAGACTTTCTAGATTTTGCAGGAAAATGAGTTAATTATTAACAAGAAGAAATGTTCTTTCGGCCAATATAAATTGGAGTATTTAAGCCACTTGATATCTTAAAAGGGAGTGGAGACAGATCAGAAGAAAGTTGAGGCCATGGTTTCTTGGCCACGTCTGCTGAATGTTAAGAGTTTAAGAGGTTTTTTGGGATTGACGGGTTATTATAGGAGGTTTGTGAAGGGTTATGGTACCATTGCACAACCCCTAACTCAATTACTTAAAAAGGACTCCTTCACTTGGAATGAGGCAGCCCAAAATGCATTTGATAAGCTTAAAGAGGCAATGACTATTGTCCTTGTATTGGCTGTCCCAGATTTTTCACTTCCGTTTGAGATTCAGGCAGATGCATCAGGTAGAGACTTGGGGTTGTTTTGGTGCAACAATCCTGCCCAATAGCTTTTATTAGCAAGACTTTCTCGTCCACAGTCAAGCTCAAATCAGTTTACGAGCTAGAATTAATGGTCATCGTCTTTGCAATTAAAAAGTGGAGTCATTATTTGCTTGGCAGGAAGTTTATAATAAAGTCAGACCAGCGCAGCCTCCAATTCTTAATGGATCAGAGAGCCAAAACCCCTGAACAACACAAATGGATCTCCAAACTCATGGGCTTCAATTTTGAAATTCATTATTATCTGAGGGCTTCAAATCGAGTGGCAGATGCTCTCTCATGAAGGGAAGAAGGGGCTGAGTTGACGGCTTTGTTTGTGGTTTAGTTTTCTGAGTATGAAGACCTTGCTTCAAAGGCACAAACAGATCCTAGATTGCAGGTGATCATACAAGACCTCTTCCTTGATTCATCTAGTCGACCCAACTACCAACTCCGTAGGGGCTGCCTACTTTATAAAAATAGGGTGGTCATTCCTAAGGGATCCAAGTTTATTTCAAGGTTATTAGAGGAGTTCCACCGGAGTCCTAGTGGGGGTCACTCCGGCTTCTTTAGAACATAAAAGAGAGTGTCCAATATGGTCTATTGGGAAGACATTCGGAGGGATGTCCAACAATATATCAAGGCTTGTACCATTTGTCAACTTAACAAACAGTCATCATTAAAGCCAGTAGGACTTCTACAACCCTGCCTATTCCAAGTCAAGTTTTTGAGGACATTTCTATGGACTTTATTGGTGGATTACTGCGTTCCAAAGGGGTGGATACCATATTGACTGGCTCACCAAATATAGTCACTTCTTCAGTCTTGGTCACCCTTACAATGCAAAGGATGTGGCTGCCATATTTATTAAAGAAGTGGTCAAGCTCCATGGTTTCCCGAACGCCATTGTTTTGGACAGAGATAAGGTTTTCATGAGCCAATTTTGGCAGGAATTATTCAAGGCTGTTGGAACCATCTTGAAATTTAGCTCGGTATACCACCCGCACACCGATGGTCAGACCGAGGTGGTCAATAGATGCCTTGAGGCTTATCTCCGATGCTTCTATAGCTCTCAACCACGACAGTGGCCATTGTGGCTTACATAGGTGGAATTTTGGTACAACACCACTTACCACGGCTCCACCAGGATGACCTATTTTAAGGCCCTCTATGTGAGAGATCCTCCCACACTCTTGAAACTTACAGATTGCCCCTCAGCCGTGGAAGATGTAAATATACAGATGGCTGAGCGGAATGCCATGTTAAAGGAGCTTAAAGCTAACTTGGCCATTGTTCAAGGTCATATGAAGAAAAATGCGGACCTACATAGGAGAGATGATTGTTTCCAGCCTGGAGACTCTGTTTTTTTGAAGCTACAGCAATATAGGTTCAAAACTCTTGCCAGAAAGTTAAACAAGAAGCTCAGCCCCCGCTTCTATGGGCCTTATGTTGTTTTGGAACGAGTTGGGAAAGTGGCTTACAAACTTGCTTTGCCTCTCACGACACGAATTCATCCAGTTTTCCATATTTCTCAGCTCAAGTGGAGTTTGCATCAATCTGTTCCAATCCAACCCCTGCCAGAATTCCTTTCTGAAGATCTAGAATTGATGGTCCAACCTGCTATCTTCTTATCTATGCATACTCTCCTGGATGGTTCTAGGGAGGTCCTCATCCAATGGAAAGATTTACCTGAGTTTGAAGCCACTTGGGAGTCGTATGAGGTGATACATGCACATTTTCCTCACTTTCACCTTGAGGACAAGGTGAATCTCCAAGGGAGGGGTATTGATAGGCCTGCTGTGCATAAGGTGTACACACTTAAGGGATGTAATAGGCATTGAGGATAGTTGTTAAAGGGTAAGGTCCATGTGTCTGCAGGTGTGATGTGGGTGCGAGTATTGTGTGAGTGAGAGGTAGTTACGGGAAAGCTTAGTATATATATTGTTTAATACAAGGCATTTCAAAAGGGTGGGCAGGCGAAGACCGACATGCACAATTGATTCCAGGGGTAGGTGGCACGGCAAGAGAGAAAGAGATGCCCAAAATCCCTACTATCCTACAATGCCTACTAGGAAAAAAAGTGTACCCAAAGGGAGCATATTTTTTAGAGTAAACAATGGAGGTCCTTGGCTCCTAGAAATGCAAGGATTATCCGACTACTGCTCTTATTTCATTTTTCTTCCAATTGTCAATTACATATTGTCTGAGTAATATTCAGATTAAAGATTATACAAAATAGTTTGTCCAACGCTTGTTCTTGTTTTTGGTTGTGTGTTGAATTGATTTGCAGGTGGTCCTATCAGAAGGATCAGAAGATTGTCCATCAAGTGCCCTAGTTTGCTTCGACACAACCAATTCCATATAGAGAAATAGAGAAATAGAGATGTGATCTCAAGGGAATTGCAAATAATGCCGAATAAACTCATTTCTGCCATTTGACTTCAGATAAAGGATCTGCAAAAAGCAACCATTAATTTGATGCCACAAAGGGAGAGTAGTGAAATTCAACTAATCATCAAACAGTTAATTAGATCATTATGTATAATGTGAATATGAAAAAAACAATCATAAAAAATTACAGCCTTCAAAAGAGACAAACTTCTTATTCTTATACAATCTTCAATTTGTCAAAAGAGAAAAATAGGCCAACTTATTGCCACTCATGCAAAAAAGTAACTCACACAACATCAGTTGGCATAAATGACTAGATTTCAAACTTGGGAATCTGCCTTTTTACAACTTTAACCACTCTAAGCAAGGACAAAGCCCCCAGCAAAACCTAGCGGGATAGTAGTCCTTCAAGTACACCTCCCTGCTACAACCAATGATATAGAAACTGAAGGATCGACCTCCTCGATGAGACATGGTGACACGTGTCACCGGAACAACAGAGATTGTATGCCTTTCACATATAACCCTTGCAGTTGGAGGTATGGGAGCCCTTTCTGCAATGACTTCAGAAGAAAACTTGTTCAGAAAGAAAGAGTCTGCAAAAAAGGCAGGAGAACACTGGTATGCCTGAGTATTGCACAACTGCACCCCTTTTGCTCTGTGGAAAACCTCATCTGGGACAGACGCTGCTCCGCTCGCTGCACTTACTTGTCTAGTGGAAAGAGTCTTCCTGTTAAGAAATATATATTTTCTCCCTCAGTATGCAGTTTAGTAGTTTAGGGCATGTATAAGCTTACAATTTTTTATTTATATATATATATATATTTTTAATATTTTTCAAGAAAACTTGCAATATTCTGGAAATAGATATCTGTCAGAAAGCAGCAAATTAATAACTAGGGTATTATCATAAATGTTATCCTCACAATATTGCCCAATACCATTACAAAGACATTTCTAACAATGTGACGAGAGCACCCATGAGATTATATGAGACAGTAAGCTAAGACATAAACATTATAGGGCATTTATGAAAATGTAATATTGTGTTAAAACTAAAAGAAGGGCTTAATGGAGAAGTTCAGCTAGGGTGGGGTAGCTTCCGTGTGGCAGATATGATTTATTAGAACCATCAACTGTATACTCACCATCTAACAATGGCAACACTGCGTGTCAAGAAAGAACCACTTCCACGACATGTCTCGCATTTTATAAGCCCACGAGATCCACAAGTTGCACAAGGAATTTTTCCATTTCCATTGCATTTTGCACATCTGCAGAGAAAAAGTTATTACATAAACATAATTGTAGGAGAAGAGAAGAATTAGGAGCACTGACTACAAGCTTATTAGTGAAACTATACCAACTGTGAAGTAACCTTCTAAGAACATATGGGGCTTGTAAGCTGGAAAATGTAAAATCTACTTACAAATTTTTTTAGGCACTAGTTATGTGCACTATAAAAATAGTTTACTGGTCAATAATCCATGCTTAAATTTATAAGAATATCCATACGTTAGATTTTGAAATCAGCTAAGAATATCCATATGCTTAAAAATAGTTTACTGGTCAAGATAATATATGTTGTATAACGTTGTTATAAAACAAATCATAGCTCACATTGTGTCAGATCCATCTTTATGAGCAATTAAACCCCTCCCATAACAATTAGGGCACTGAGTCATCTGGTTTTCCTTATAAGATCCAGGCTCTTGATCTGCATTGCAAGTGCGACATACGATATTCCCTCGTCCTGCACAGCCTGCACATCCATTTAACTTCAACATTATATAAACACGGAAACTGTGTAGTACTTGCATGCATCTAATTGAAAATTTACAACAGGAAAGAGAAAGGAACTAATGCCAAAGGGGGACTGCAGGTAACAGTAGAAAAGAAATATAAATAAAAAACTTCTACTTCTGAAAATTCTGTTGTATCACCCTAAAGCGTTTAAGGATCATTACCAGGGCATTTCTCGATGGTTTCAGAACGAGGAATTTTCATTCGTGTTTCTTCATGAGGTACAAATAGAACAGGAAATTGTGACTTTAGATCCAATTCCCAGATGCCTAGTTTGGGCTCATTATCTTTTCCATCAAATTTGCCACCAAGGTAAGGCTCTGTTTCTCTTATAGTTTCCCTCTCCTCTATGAATGTTTCAAGAGTTCCCACATAGACATTGCAGTCTTCTACTGCATGAATCTTCCATGTCCGAGCAGGACGACTTCCCCAACAGCAACGATGACCAACATGATCAATGAGCAACTCCCTTATCTCAACCTCATCCAATATTTGCCTACATGTACATCATTCAATTGATAAGAAGGTTACTGGTATGACCAGCTAAAATAAAAATATAAAATGAATCTCTATCTGTTACAAAGAGACATACAAGAGACCTGATGTACGGTTAGAGATCTCGACTAAACGTGAACGTTACACTGTCATACGACTCATTTCCACCAGACAGAAGTGAAAATTCACCCATGACTAAAACCAGACTCCCCATATCTTTTCAATAATAACTACTGGATTTATTTTTCAATGATATGTAAAAAAATTTATATAAATAACAACACATGGAAAAACATAACCAGGTAAGAAAAAAGGGTCATTAAAACCCTTGTCAATGCTGTCTTTGCAGGATAAGAAAACCAATACATCTTTTAAACCAAATCCTACTATTGTCCAACAATTATTATAGTAACCTTTTCTATTTCAGTATTTTGTGCATGACGTAAAAACTTTAACTGCTTTTAGATATGAAGATCAAACTCCAGGGACGAAATATCAAACAAATCACCAGTCACCACCCAGTAATATAAACAGATTTATACGATCATCAAAATGCATTAAAATCCTCTACAAATAAAGATATTTGACCCTAAATGAATGCTTCAATTTACCACACAACTCATAAAGCTTCCCAGTTGACCACTCAATTTAACTCTAAATCACACCCAAAAAATTCATGCTTCCATAATAAAAAACACAAAATCCAGCCTTACCGCCGAAATTCATTCACATTTCTACCATAATCTCCTCCGTAGTACCCGCCTTGATACACAATATCTTGCTCTGCAAAATGCACAAGTAAACGAAACGAATCCAAACAAACAATTAAACAATACAATGATGAAACCAAACATTAATATTAAGTTTCTAATTTGAATACATAGAATAAACGTACGTTGAGGATCGGGTTCTGGTGAACTAATCAAAGGAGCGTGAATCGACGGAGGGTAGTGATCGGAAGAAGAGGCAGCTGATCGAATTTCTTCAACGCTGACTTCGGTTCCCGCCAACGAAGCAGTTGGAATAATTGAGTTTGTTCTTCCCACGTGCTGATACGAGCTCCATTTTTCGCTCTCCTTCTCTGAGTTCTCTCCCGAGTAACTCCTTTTCTCTTCATTAAAATAAGTAATCAAAATTTCGTAAAAATTAAATGATCTAATTACAAAAATTAGAGATGAAAATGCAAAACAAATGGAAGAGCAGTGTACCAGAGAGTAGAGGCTCCTGCATCTTGTGTAGTGTGTGAGTTCTGATTAGAGATGAATGGAAAGTTTTTATTTATTTTGAGAAATTTGCTTAGGGAGTAAGGAAATAATGGAGTCCAAGGGGTGTCGGTTCCACACGTTTTTTAGTCGGTTACTTATGCTGCATTTGTAGTGTACCTTCTTCTTCGTGCGATTACGGCGATAAGTGTGAACGAGTTAAATCGTGGCAGAGCTGATCTGGCAGTCTTGTCTATCCACTTCATTGGGCTTTTCATATGTGGCACTGTAGACTAATCTGGTCCGCGAATCTTGTTTAGTGGCCCATGGGCTGATGAAGTGTATTGATACTTGATTTTGACACCAACTATTCGTATGTATAAAGTGCTAAACGAACTAGAAAATGAAATAAATAAAAAAGAGATAATTTTTAAAGCGGTTCGCATGCTCAAAGTGAATCCTATATCCATTGTCTTTTTATTTATGAAATATTACAATCAGATTACATGTGATGATAAGAGAGAACAAAAATACAGAGAGGGAGAGAGAGAGAGTATGTGTTTATATTATCAGAATTAGAATCCTGAAAAATAAGAGGGAAGCTCTCTATTTATAGTAAGAGGTTTCTGGATAATGATTACAGGTCTATCAATGAGCAAATGTTATACAGTTCTTACCCTACTTTCTATTAGCTGGTTGCATGAAATATATCTTTAAACTGTACAGGACTTGGACAGGCGGGTGACTTTTAGCCACTCACCCCTAGACCTTTACCTGCCATGTTATGACAACCTTACCCTCTCTTTCCTTAGACGGCGTGACAACGTTTAGATCAACATCTTTTTGAATTCTAACTCATCCTCGTTGACGCATGTCTACGTCAGCCTTCATTATTTTAAGGCATAACAGATTGGGTCCAATAATCTCGAATTTACGATGTCATGCTATTTTGTATATGGTAAGCAAATTTCTTTTGTATAAATTTAAGCGTGGATAAATAGTATATTATATATAAATTAAATAACAATTAAAAGAAAAATTGGGCGCATATGACATAATATACTCTTACCCACACCGGATCTCTGCCTTTGAAGTATATAGACCTCTCGCTCATATCGATTCGAGTCTTTTACTAGGGTTTTCATCTTTCGCAGACTCGGGCGGCAGAGCTTTAAACAGAAAAAAATGGTCAAGGGTAGGCAAGGCGAGCGCGTCAGGTCGAACTCTTATCTCTCACACTCTGTTTACGTTTCTTAATCGCTAATTATTTCGACAAAGTCACTTAATCTTACTCTTGTTTTGTTCACAGACTCTATGTTCGAGGAACAGTTCTTGGATACAAAAGGTAAGGAAAAATAAACCACTTGGTTTGTACTTGAAGTTAGCCAAGTGTTTGATTGATTTGTAATTTATTTGGATGTTAGGTCGAAGTCGAACCAGTACCCAAACACCTCGTTGATTCAGATCGAGGGAGTGAACACAAAGGAAGAGGTGGCATGGTACTGCGGCAAACGGATGGCTTACATTTACAAGGCAAAGACTAAGCAGAATGGTTCCCATTATCGCTGCATTTGGGGAAAAGTCGTTAGACCTCACGGTAATAGCGGCGTGGTTCGTGCTAAGTTCAAATCCAATCTCCCTCCCAAGTCCATGGTAACCAATAATCAATTAATTTTTGTTTTTCTGTTTGTTGGCTTTGATTTGAATATTGAGTTTTGATTATGGATGTGGTTTTAATTGTTAAACAGGGAGACAAAGTAAGGGTGTTCATGTATCCTAGCAACATATGAGGTATGTTATCAATTATTTTTTATTTACTATGGTTTTGACGCCATAAAGTGTGGTTTCTATTTGCTAAAATTGTGTCAAATGGTTGTTGAGTAATGGTTTCAATGTGCTTAGTGGTATATTCCTTTTCTAGATTCTGTTAGGATAGAGTTGTGGTTAGCATTCTGTTTTTTTGTTGTTTAGGAATATTTGCTCCTGTGCATTCTAGCTGAAGTGAACTTAACTTCCTGACCTGTAGGTGGCACTGTGCGGAAACATTTAGAGTCGTGTTTAGGATTCCACTATAGTTATATACTTAGAAAATCGTTGGAAATACCCTGGGAGAGAAGTTCTAAGAATATTTACCTCTTCTCAATCTGCATTCTTTGAGTAATTATGTAGGAGAACATGGTGATCCTGATACTCTTGTTTAGTTTGTTAGAAAATTATCAGGAATGAAATAGATTTTTCCTTTTCCAAATTCAAGTATATAAATGTCTGTAGTTTTTATTAAATTAGAAAAAACATGATTGGGTTTTGAAACCATATAATATATAAATCTTTTTGAGTTTTATTTATTTATTTATTTTTAATTATAGGCTGATTTGGTTTGATTTGTGGATATTTAAGTATAATTCTCTGCAGTAGTTGAAAGTTGTGATATATTTATTTAATTTTACAGTAGTTTGTGTTTTTTGTTGTACAGCAACAGGGTCCAGGTAGATTCTAGAATGGCAGTCTAAGGTGTATCTTTTGAATTTGGGATTTATTCTCTTAAGAGCTAAGTTTCAAGGTTTTCAATGCGGGAGTTATACTAGCTAGCTGTTTTGGCTCAGCATCTGTTCAGGTAGTTTGTATTTGGAACAACAAGGATAACTCTTATTCTTAGTTTTGTCATTTGAAATTTTTGCTATTTAGCTTTTAAGTTTCTTCATCTCTTAATATGCCTCAATTTTGTTAGAAGTTTATCTCTAATGACCGTAAAGCTTTCTTATTTCATATGTTGGTTTTAATCTTCCATTTTGAATATTGTCATGAATGTCATTTAGCTACTGAGAAGCGTTGTTTACCTGTTACTAATTAGGTTTCTTTACTGCTCTATTTTTCCACTGTGACATGACATTGAGGAAATATGTTAAACATGGATATAATTGTGGAATAATTGAAAAGATTGTAATAAACAGGATTATGACACTTTGCAAAGAGATGTCACCTGACCAACCCGAGGCAACGTTTTAAATAGAAATTGATCATTGTTTGGTAGTACTCAAATCTTTTTCTGGAATAAACATGGATTATGCAGCAGAAATTGTTGATAAGATTGTATATAATGTTTTTGGTTGCTACTTTTGTTATGCAAAATACGTTTGTTTAAGAAACAGAAGTTGCTCATTATTTGGAAGGTGTACCCGTGATATGGAGCTTCCCTAGTGATTCTGTTATTAGGGATGACAATTCGACCCAAGTATAAAATCTTAATGAAAAGGTTTTGAATGCATCGGTTTCAGATAGTTTTGTTATAGACTTAACCAATAGAGGAGTATTTTTATTTGTAAAATTATGTATCATAATTTGAAGTTTTGCCAACAAATACTGGATTTTCTTAATAATTGAGTCATTTCTCAACTATAAATTTATAAAATTTAGTTCGGTTTTTGTATTAATGATTAGGGAAGGGTTGTTTAGTTCGAATTTAGACCTTTACCTAATCCTATTTGGATAGATTCAATAATAGGAGAAAAAGACCTTATGTCAAGTTGTCAACTATTGTCTAGGTCTTACATTATAAATTACTAGGATTTATCCCCCCCTTTAAACTTAATAAATGTTTACATAATCTGTTAATTGAGATGTTTTTTCTGTTTAAAAACTAAAATACTCCTCATTTTAATATTTTATAAGGATGTAATAAAAAATATAAAAAAATTGTTATCATTTCTTGAATTTAAGGGTTTATATCTTAGTGTACGTTTGGTTTAGGGAATGTTAGATTATTGGAATCTTATATTATCTTGAAGATTACAGGAATTTTTAGGAAAATATGTTTAGTTAGTTGAAATAAATTGATAGGTATGTTATATGAATATGTTTGGTTAGGAGGAATAAATTGGTGAGTATGTTATTTAAATTATTAAATTGCCCTTTTTTTAAATATTGATATACTATTATTTTTATTTTTAATTTTGGAATTTTTTTTTTGACCCCTAACATTTCAGATTAGGGAAAACACCCTGTTTATATAAAATTTTAATTTATAACAAAATCACCCTCATCACCCCAAGCCACTGTCTGCCACCGTCATCTGTTGTCGTAAGTCTCCTAGAGTCGTCGTGAGTAGCCCACCATCACCGGGAGGCTCCAAGATAATGGCCGAAAACATCCCAATTAGAGTAGATCTTATCGGGAATGGCCAAAGTAGTGGTTAGATCTAGTTCGATTGGGGTGTTTTCGGCCATCAATATGGTTGGAAACGGCCATATCAAAGCCTCCTGGTGATGGTAGGCTACTCACGGTGACTTTAAGAGACTTTTGGCGGTGGTTTGGCTTGCAGCAGGTGGGTGCTGGTGATGGCTTGAGTGGGTTGTAATTTGTTTTGGATTCAAGGGTAATTTTGTCTAAAAAGTTGATTAATTGGGGTGAAATGGTAAAAGGTAGATTCATGTAAAATTAATTTAAAAATAAGGGTATTATTGTTCTAAAATTTTATTAATAAGGGATATGATTGTAGCAAAATTAAGATTACCTTGGTAATCTTATAATACTTAAGAAAATGGAGATTATTAGATTACTTCTAATATTATCAATAGTAATTACTATTCGTATTGAATCTTATATGACTTGACAATAAAACATGATAATCGAGTAATATAAAATGATATAAGCGTCATATGCTCCCTACCAAATGCCCCCTTATTATTTTTAAGTCACATGACTCATAATCTAATAAAACTAAACCTTATTGTGTTAACAAATTAATTCGTTCAATAGAGTTATTGTGTTGTTGTTTAAGAAAGGGTTTAATAATACAGAAGAATTGGATCTATGTCTCTGAGACGATGGATTTGGGATTTTCTTTCTTTAGTAGACTTGCTTAAAACTATACGGTACAAACCCGTATGAGGTTTTCTGCTATGTCGTATGAGGTTTTCTGCTACGTCACCGCGCTCCAAGTCCAGCCTTCAATGCAAAAACGTGGCCTTCCAGTTAGCTGAATAAATAAGCATTAAGATTGGGACCATCCAAGTGGTTGTATGAATCAGCATTTGGAGTAAACTACTCCTATTAAATCGTAAGTAACAGAATTCTTCTCCAATTAATTATGCCTTGATCTCTAATCACAGCCGTAGATTTATCATATGCGTAATGCATCTTCAGGAGAAGCAATTGACTCTTTACATGAAATCATATGTATTGTATAACCTACCACACTGTACTGCCGAGTGAATAACAATGAAAATAAAAAAAACAGCTCATACATGTCGGCAGTCGGCACGCCTGGAGCCTTACAAAAATACATAATGATTGCAGTGGAGAAAATCACAAGTTGAGTTGGGCTTGGTAGGTGGCTCAGTTCAGTGTGAAATTATTTGAGATCAGATCAGAAGACTTGATGCTGAAGTGTTGCCGTCCCCATTACTGGTTTACCAACTTAATTAAGAAACCCATTTGTGAATGCTTAGGACAAAAACGCAACACAACAATTCCTCAAGCTTCGTAGTGGCGCACCACACGCGACTCTCCGTTATCTCTTCATCATGTTCATGTGTTAAAGCTAGGAAAAAATTGCCTATTACATTCAATACAAGACGAAACATTTAAATATATTGAAAACAAATATATTACGAAAAAGATGATGAACTTTACATTCTAAAATGTATTAAATCTGTTAAAATTCTTTTTGTTTTTTTCTGTTATGTAATTGTGTATATTCCACGTTTTCGGAATAAAAATGTTTTCTTTGACCAACTCTTGGTGAAATAACAGTAAATCTAACAGTGGGAAGCATGAAAATAATAATAAAATATAATTGATTAAGTGTAATCTTAATCTATATATAATATATGCAAGAGATCATCATTGATTTATTATGGCTTGTACGTTGATTACACTTGGCGATTTCCATTTTCTTTGCCGACCCCACAATCGAAGAAATTAGGTTCCGCTGTGGCGGAGCATTACCCTTTCTCACTGTCACTCACTGTAGCGTCATTATTAATAATAATATATAAAGCTGCCTCTCGTAGAGCCTTTCTCGTCTCAGTTTGCTTCGCTTTCACGTGATTCGGTTTTTTCTTCAACATTCAAGTTCCATCTTTGTTGCTAATAGTAAGTAACTCAGCTTTCTTATTCTTTATATTGTTGTTCTGATTTGTACTGCTACTTGTTTTTCTTTGTTTAGTGATTGCAATGTTCATACTTTAGCTATCGTAGTCTACTTGAAGCTGGTTTTTTCTGGTTGTGAAAGTTATGTACATTGAAGTTATTTAGCAGCAACTCTCTCTTTTGGCAATGCAATGGAATCGGAGTTGATTAAGGTCTTTATTTTTTTATTTTTTTATTTTTTTATTGGGGTGATTAGATGAGAAATTGTTACAATATTTGTAGAAAAATTGATGGCGACTGTCACAGATATTAAAATGGAGCATGTAATGCTATTGTTGGAAGATTTGGATGATGATATGAGTAGTGAAAACACTAAACTGGCCTGCATAATAGAAGTATTTTGCAAGAGTTTTATTTTTTTGAATAAGATTCACTTAATAAAATCCGAGAGTTCTTCAATTATAACCCGGATGCTTTCTCTTCGTTCTTTCACGTACTGAACTATTAATTTTAAAATATGAAGCATGTATTTGTAAAAAAAAGAAAAAAAATTGTTCTACCGGTCATCTCTTATGGAGCATTATCAAATGGCAAAGAATTGTAATTTTTAGGTTCTTGTATAAGCTTCGATTAACAGGGTGTATAAGCTTTGATTAAAAGGATGTTTGTCTAAGCTTATAAGCTGGTCAAACTAATTTATAAGCTCTAAAATTAAACTGACCTATTTGTTTATAACATTTTTGAACTTATAAGCTGAAAAAAGTTGGGGAGAGGTACTTTTTTTTTTACATTTTTTTTGTTTATAAGCTAGTTTGACCAAGTATATTACCACGTTTATCTGTTTAATTTTAAAATTTCATAGTATACCTTTGTTTAATGTAATACTCTTTTTATTTATTTTATAATAAAATATACTTATAGCCACATTTTATCAACACGTTAACTACTTATCAGTTACTTATAATACTTTAATCAAACACATAATTGTTTAAAATTTTAAATGCTTATTAGCTTATAAACCTTGTTGTTTATAGCTAATTTTGATAAGCTCAGATAAACACCTCTAAGAAACCAATGCTGGAGATTTATGACCGAGTTGTATTTTTTTTTAATCCTTTGGTGCTTCATCTCATAGTTTGATTTAGGATTTTTTTCCTTTCTAGAATGACACGTATCTCCCTTGTTTTTTTTTTTTTTTTTGTCTTTTTCATTTCTGAAGGATTGAAAAAAGTGAATGAAGGATACTTTCTGCTTGTGAAAGTCTATGAAGATGTTATCTCATTGCTGTGGTCATCTACAGTGGCCAGTTGCAACCATTTGGTTCTCAATTTTCTTGTTATTGTCTACCCAAAATTTTGGAGGGTCTTTTTCAGCTTCTGCTTATTTGATTAGCCTTGGAAGCTATGACATAACAGGGCCAGCTGCTGATGTCAATATGATGGGATATGCTAATTCAGAACAGGTTACATCTGGAATTCACTTCAGATTACGAGCTCGTACGTTTATTGTGGCAGAACCTCAGGGAAACCGTGTAGTATTTGTGAATCTTGATGCCTGCATGGCCTCACAAATTCTTACAATTAAAGTACTTGAGCGACTAAAAGCAAGGTAATTTTACAAGTTAATGAGGTATATGAATTCGATATGTGTTTGTAGATTGTTGTCCAGAATTTAAACATGAATTGTTGGGAATCATTCATTATAGTATTAATATTGGCTAATTTTCTGTGCCTGCATGCTGAAAAAGTTATCTACGGACAATGAGAAACTTTTAGCTTATTGAATGCATGTTGAATTGCATTCACCTTGGGAGTATATTTGTAGGGCTTTCACTTATTTATCTGTCAGCTTCCATTGCTCTAACATTTTGAACATGATGTTATATCTTTCCTTTGTTTAGGTATGGTGACCTTTATACAGAGCAAAATGTTGCTATCAGTGGTATTCACACTCATGCTGGACCTGGAGGCTATCTTCAGTATGTAGTGTATATTGTAACTTCTCTTGGTTTTGTACACCAGTCGTTTGATGTAATTGTTGATGGTATTGAGAAAAGCATTATTCAAGCTCATGAGAATCTTCGGCCAGGTTCAATTTACGTTAATAAAGGTAAGGTTGATTACTCAAAATCATGAACTCTCTCTATTTGCTGCATCATAGCGTGACCTGATCTGTTTTTCCTGTATTGGATAATGTGCAGGCCTGTTGTTCTTTATATGTCCCACCTTTTTATTGTGCATGTTTGATACTCTATAAACACTCATAAGATAGTACATGCTTTAGGATGGGATAGTGCACTTTGCCCATTCCCCCAGCTTTGGGACTGGGGTTATAGCTTAACATTTGTCAGCTGGTTGGATTGTTATTTTATGAGTTATATATATTGTGCTTCCTATCTTGCTTTAGATACGATCCTTTTACATTTTGAGATTATCTTTCAGTTCTAACTTCTTGTAATGCATTTGTAGGAGAAATCTTGGATGCTGGTGTGAACCGTAGTCCAAGTTCTTATCTCAACAACCCTGCAGCCGAGCGGAGTAAATATAAGTACGATGTTGATAAAGAAATGACCCTCATAAAGTTTGTAGATAATGAGTGGGGAGGAATAGGTAGCTTTAACTGGTTTGCAACTCATGGAACTTCTATGAGTCGTACAAATTCATTGATTAGTGGTGACAACAAAGGAGCTGCAGCAAGATTTATGGAGGATTGGTTCAAACAGAGTGTTTCCAATAGATCCGGAACTGACAGAATCCCTCGCAGAGTATCAAGCATTATTCCTGACCCTCAAGAAAACCGTAAGTAAATTCCTTCTGTTTGAAACACATGCATACAGTGATGAAAGGTTGGCTCAATGAAACTCATCAGATGTTTTTAACCAGAACATGAGCTACCAATACAATAGGATAAAATTTTAAATAAGCCTTATTTGAAATTGAACCTTATTTTATGTGCAAGAAGTCAAGGCATGAGTTATTGAAACAGGCACTGAGTTGATGAAACTTGCTGCGTCCTTTAAGCCTTTGCATGGACAACCTGCAACAAGATATATGAGTGTTGCAAGCCGAGTCAGGACGTCTTTAGAACAGGCTAAAAAACCTCAATTTGTTTCTGCATTCTGCCAATCAAATTGTGGTGACGTAAGCCCAAATACTCTTGGTGCCTTTTGCACAGACAGCGGACTGCCTTGCGACTTCAATCACAGCACCTGCAATGGGAAAAATGAATTGTGTTATGGTCGAGGACCAGGGTACTTACTAATAATATGAGTCTAAATATTTTTCTCTTCTTTATTTTTGTTCAAGTATAAAATTTATGTTCATTTTGCAGTTACCCTGATGAATTTGAGAGCACACGTATTATTGGTGAAAAGCAATTCAGAAAAGCTGTGGAACTGTTTAGTAAAGCAACTGAGCAGCTGAAAGGGAAGGTTGGCTACCGACATACCTATATAGATTTTTCCAAGATTGAGGTATCACTTCCCAATGTGGGTGGCGGTACTGAGGTGGTCAAAACATGCCCAGCAGCCATGGGCTTTGCTTTTGCAGCAGGAACAACCGATGGGCCTGGAGCTTTTGATTTCAAGCAAGGAGATGACCAAGTAAGTAAGAAGCTACTGGTGCATGTTTGTTTCAATTATATAGAATTCCTTGGATGGTGAATCTCCAAAATTCTGAAGTGATTCTAATTTGGATGTTCTTTCAGGGGAATCCCTTCTGGAAGTTGGTGAGGGATGTGCTAAAACCTCCAGATCAGGAACAGGTCAATTGTCAGCGTCCAAAGCCTATTTTGCTTGACACTGGTGAAATGAAGGTTCCATATGATTGGGCAGTGAGTATCCAATTTAGCTTGCACTTATTATATGTGATTAAAATAACCCATAATTTTCAGATAAGTCTGTACATGTTTGGGACACTCCACCTGGGATTAGTCCGATTGAGTTTAGAGCCTCAGTATATTGAATAATCACAAACAAGGCGTCATGCATCATAATATATTTTTGTACTGATGCAAATGCTGGAATTTGAGTCCATGGCACAGTGTGGAAGCATATACATAAAATCATCATGTATATTGAACTTGTTTTAATTGTTCCTTGTTGCTTTTTCTGTTTTCAACACAATTTGGCACTTCCAGCAACTTCTAACTGATCTTTGGCATACAGTACATTCTAAAATGATGTTTGGCCTCTTTAATATTGAAAAGATTATTCTCTGATGTTGGTGGATTGCACATGAAGTGCTGGTCATTAGTGTTTCAGTTGTATGCTCTTAAAAGATTGCTTAAACAATTTTGATCCATTCTAAATGTTTGGTTCCTTGAGATGATTTACAAGGTAGTCCAGGTTTGAAATTCTGTAAATATGGGTTGATTATTGTGCTTACAATTTTATCTTCATTTATTTATGCAGCCTTCAATACTCCCAGTCCAAATTTTGCAGATAGGGCAACTTGTTATTCTATGTGTACCTGGAGGTGATGGAAACCTTAATGTTTTTATTCGAGTTTTTTCTCTAATATTCATGAGAACATTCACATTGTGAGGTGAAAATTATTCAGTCCTGGAAACAAAATGCTACACAGCCATAGATTGATTGGTCCTAGTTTCTTTACTCCATAGCTTTTAATGTACTGAATCCCGTGAAGAGTGTTTTACTTTTTCACTGCAAGAATCATCTCACTAGTTAGCATATTCCCTTCTCTACTGTGGTTTTCATGTTTCCAATTTATTGTTTCTTGCAGAATTCACTACCATGGCTGGCAGGCGTCTTCGTGATGCTGTTAAGTCGGTGCTCATCTCTGGAGGTAGAGAAAAATTCAACAGCAATGTCCATATTGTCATTGCTGGGCTGACAAATACATATTCACAGTACGTGACCACCTTTGAAGAGTACCAGGTGCAGCGATACGAGGTCTGTACACTGGTTCAGCATGCACCATTTATTCATGACAAAATTCTTGCATTGCACTTTCTTATATTTATTTTAGTAAAAGCATATATATAGTTCCAGAGTTTAGGTATCTGATAAAAGTATTTGACACCTCCAAAATTGGCAAAAGGAGTGATGACCAAAATTCATGCCATCTCCTCTAAGACTCAGAGTCATTTTACTTGGTACGTGATGGACCCGATATCATCCAGAGGTACACACGCAAGGGCAAAGGGGGCAAAAAGGGAATTTAATATGGGTACAGGTGGCCTCTTTGCCCTTGCGTGTGTACCTCTGGATGATATCGGGTCCATTAGTACATCAGAGGAATATGAAGAATATGCAAATTTTGTCTCATGGATATATAAAGAATTCAAATCTTAGTAATTTTTGTCTGATCCATTTGTGGCCGGAACCTTTTTAGGGAGCTTCCACCCTTTATGGTCCACACACTCTCAGTGCCTACATTCAGGAGTTCAAGAAACTAGCAGCAGCTCTCGTCAGTGGTCAAGCTGTTGAGCCAGGCCCGCAGCCTCCAGATCTCCTTAATAAGCAAATTAGCTTATTAACGCCAGTGGTTGTTGATGCAACCCCTGGTAATGCAAATTTTGGGGACGTTAAAACTGATGTACCTCCGAATTCAACCTTGAAGAGAGGTGACATGGTGACAGTCACATTCTGGTCTGCTTGCCCAAGGAACGACCTCATGACAGAGGGCACTTTTGCACTTGTAGAAATTCTTCAGAACAAGAAAACATGGGTTCCAGCTTATGACGATGATGACTTTTGCTTACGATTTAAGTGGTCAAGGCCTGCAAAACTCAGTCCTCAGAGTTTTGCAACAATAGAATGGAGGATTCCAGAATCAGCGGTTTCAGGTGTGTATAGAATAACACATTTTGGTGCTTCAAAGTCTCTCCTTGGTTCAATCCACTATTTCACAGGTTCCTCTAGTGCCTTTGTCGTTGGATGAGGTGCAGGAAGTAGCCATTATTATTTAACAGAGTATATAACACTATTTCATATCTGTTCTCAGATCACATAGTTCTCCGAAGGAAAGTAGATAACCAAGTTATGGCTGTAAAATATATTTATCTTACCAGCCATTAAACCTTATATATTTCTTGTCTGTCAGAAATTTTAGCAGGGTTTTAATTGTTATTCAAGATTTTGTTAAATGCCTGCTTAGCTTTGAAGTTTATGCTATTTATTCATCGCTTTAAGCGATGAGATAAATGAAATTTCTCTTCTCACTATAATGTATCGATAAAAAATTGAAATGCATGGAATTGATCACAATTCAAACTGTTTCAGATTGAAAAACACCTGAAAATTCTTGAAACATTTCTGATAATTATATCCATCTAATATGAATCTCCACCAACATGGATCTTTCTCTCCAGCCATTTATTTGCAAGTTTGAAACACCTTATACAAATACAACCATCAGACAGCGACCATCTGATTTCACTATTGCATGCCCTACAAAGTATTCCAATTTCCAAGCAGCTGACCAGCATGAAAGGGCAAACGCCACCCCTCTCCTCTTTAATCAAATAAAATGATTCAATTAATTTTCAAAGGGGAAAGCTAAACTCTAAAAGAATCGCCTGATGTACAAGTGAGGTTTTGATTTCCAAGGAAGGAAAATTCAGAGTTAGTTTGTACTGTATAGTTAACGAAATTTGCTCAGCTCGAGGGAGCTGTTACTAGAATTCACCTCTGCGGAGTCAGCTGCCAAGTCATATCTACTGTTCCAGCTGACAGCTGTGCTTGGTAGTTATTACAGTTGACAGTTTCTTATCATAAACATTACGTTTATTTTTTATAGGACATAGCATCCATAACTGCACTGTTCTTGCAAAACTTTGATATTAAAATTGTTTGGTATCTGGTCTTCAATGATTCTTTAGCATATTTTGTGAACTTGACCAACCCCACGCCATTAATTCGTTTTCACTCTCCAGGCATGCATTTCCACCCTTTTACTGAAAATTGCCATATGCATATACCGACTGTTCATTAGAATCAAAACTGCAGCCTGCAGGTTTTGCGGAATGCAAAAAGGAGCCCTTACGGAGGTTGTCTGTTACGTGCCAGAGTTTGCAACCTCGTAATGGGTTTATGAATGGGTAGAGAACAAAGATCGTTCTTGCGTACTCTACCTATGATGGAATTTTGTAGGACATTTCGAGGGATCCTAAGCCTCCTTACTTGGTTTAATTTGAGAAAAACCACAACTCCAAATCAACACAAGGTTGAAGATAATATTGATCATATATTATTCATTCTTGGCCTCAAGCTATTAAATAGCTGAACAACTTTTGATGGAATAGGCAATAACCAATTCTTACAAAAAAAGAAAATTACAATCGCATAATTCTAGCACAAAATTATTAAAAGGAAATAACATTGATCAAAAGGAAATAGCATTAATTTAATTATTGATGGTAAGCATTAATCACTCCCATCCCATGATTCTTGGTCCCTGACAACTCTTCCCTCCTTAAAATTTTCCTTGTCCTGAAGGAAAAAGCGTGTCTTCAATTCTACCAGATTCTCCCATGTGGCCTCAACAGGAGAGAGATTTTGTCAATGACCAAGAGCTTCAATTTCTCCTCCTTTTTTGCAAGTTTCCATAATGGCTTGAGGAAGCGGGTGGAGTGCCGCTGGTAATTTGGGTAGAGTGGGAGAGATTTTCTCTTGATCTCCAATCCTCTTTTTAAGGAATTGAATTGCAATAAAAAAGCTTTTTTTCCTTTCCGCAATAGCTCCTCTAAATCACGATCACCCATGATTTTATTGATAGGCCCTCTTGTCCCACGTAACTCTATTGTTTTCCCCTCCCACCAAAATCTCATCCATAGCTCATTGAATTCCCAAATAATTGGACCCAAGTTTTTAAGCCATTGAGTTCCAAAAATGGCATCACATCCTTCCACCGGTAAAAGGTAAAAATCCACGTGGAATTGAACCTTTTGCACTAAAATAGGGAGCCTTTCACACAATCCTTCACTTTTCATTTTATTTCCATCCGCCACTTGAACCAAAAATTCTCCTTTCTTTGTAGGATAAATTCCCATTTTGGTAGCTAACTTTGAATTCAAAAAGTTATGAGTGCTATCAGAATCCACCAATATTGTAACCATGGAATCTCCAATTTTTCCAAAAAAACGCATGGTCTGAGGTGTCACATTTCCTGAAATAGCATGAAAACTAATTTCGGGAATCTTTTCTTCCGCTTCTTCCTCTATGGTAGTCTCATCCAACGACTCATCAATAGAAGGAAAAATTCCTTCTATTAAAAATAACTTCTTGCAACGATGGCTCGGGGAAAATTTTTCATCACAATTGAAGCATAATCCACGCGTCCTCCTTCCTTGCAACTCAGCCGGACTCAACCTCTTGATGGTGGGGATACTAGCTCGGGTAAGAGATGCTGAAGGTAAGGGTGGATGTTCCATGGTGGATGGAGCCTTCTAAGGTTCCACGTACCCTCCCTTCTGTTGGTCATACATACGAGACTCATAGAGTTGTGCAAGACCGATAGCGGCAGACAATGAAATTGGATTACATGCTTGCAAGTCCACTCGTATTGCCTCCTTTAACCCGCTCATAAAACACCCAACTTGTTGTTCTTCGGACAAATGGCCAGCTCGATGTAACAAACGATTGAAGTCCCTTTGGTAATCGCAAATGCTTCTCGTTTGCTTAAGCTTGGTGAGATCCCCAAAAAAATTTTGGTATCTTGAAGGCCTGTATCGTAAATGCAACTCGTACTTGAAAACTTCCCAATTGATGCCTTCTCGCCGATTTTTGAAACATTGATACCACAATTGGACATCCCCATCCAAGTGATAACGGGCCATAGGGAGTTTTTTCGCCTCTTCCGTGCCTTGAAACTCGAAAAAATTGCTCCACTCGACAAATCCATCCAGTTGGATCATCCATGCCATTATAGCGTGGAAAGTTCAACTTAGTGATTTTGGGTGCAAGAGAACCTCCTCCTGAAAGGCTACGACGAGGCCCACGAAAGGACTCGGCACCATCGTCATGTCCTCCACTACGCGTAGAAAAACGAGCAAACATGCTCTCCATATGTTTCAAAAGACGTTCTTCACTAGCCTTCATAGCTTGTTGTAGTTCCTTTTGGCCCGCAGCCAATGAGCCAAGCTCATTCTCCACTTGCTCGAGACGGTGGTTGGACATGCCTGGCTCTGATACCAAGTTGTTACGTGCCAGAGTTTGCGACCTCGTAATGGGTTTATGAATGGGTAGAGAACAAGGATTGTTCTTGCGTACTCTACCTATGATGGAATTTTGTAGGACACTTCGAGGGATCTTAGGCCTCCTTATTTGATTTAATTCGAGGAAAACCACAACTCCAAATCAACACAAGGTTGAAGATAATACTAATAATATATTATTCATTCTTGGCCTCAAGCTATTAAATAGCTGAACAGCTTTTGATGGAATAGGCAATAACCCATTCTTACAAAGAAAGGAAAATTACAATCGGATAATTCTAGCACAAAATTATTAAAAGGAAATAACATTGATTGAAAGGAAATAACATTAATTTAATTATTGATGGTAAGCATCAATCACTCCCATCCCATGATTCTTGGTCCCTGACATTGTCTCAATCTTTATTTTTAGAAATCCTGTCCTTAAGGACAAGCGTGTCTTCAATTCTACTAGACTGTGGCCTCAGTAGGAGAGAGATTTTGTCAATGACCAAGAGCTTCAATTTCTCCTCCTTTTTTGCAAGTTTCCAGAATGGCTGAGGAAGTGGGTGAAGTGCTGCTGGTAATGGGGTAGAGTGGGAGAGAGTTTCTCTTGATCTCCAATCCACTTTTTAAGGAATTGAATTGCAAGAAAAAAGCTTTTTTTCCTTTCCGCAACAGCTCCTCTAAATCACGATCACCCATGATTTTATTGATAGGCCCTCTTGTCCCATGTAACTCTATTGTTTTCCCCTCCCACCAAAATCTCATCCATAGGTCATTGAATTCCCAAATAATTGGACCCAAGTTTTTAAGCCATTGAGTTCCAAAAATGGCATCACATCCTTCCACCGGTAAAAGGTAAAAATCCACGTGCAATTGAACATTTTGCACTAAAATAGGGAGCCTTTCACACAATCCTTTACTTTTCATTTTATTTCCATCCGCCACTTGAACAAAAAATTCTCCTTTCTTTGTAGGATAAATTCCCATTTTGGTAGCTAACTTTGAATTCAAAAAGTTATGAGTGCTACCACAATCTACCAATATTGTAACCACAGAATCTCCAATTTTTCCAAAAAAAAAAAGCATGGTCTAAGGTGTCACATTTTCTAAAATAGCATGAAAACTAATTTTGGGAATCTTTTCTTCCTCTTCTTCCTCTATGGTAGTCTCTTCCAACGACTCATCAATAGAAGGAAAAATTCCTTCTATTAAAACTAACTTCTTGCAATGATGGCCCAGGAAATTTTTTCATCATAATTGAAGCATAATCCATGCGTCCTCCTTTCTTGCAACTCAGCCGGACTCAACCTCTTGATGATGGGGATACTATCTCGGGTAAGAGATGCTGAAGGTAAGGGTGGATGTTCCATGGTGGATGGAGCCTTCTGAGGTTCCATTTACCCTCCCTTCAGTTGGTCATACATACAAGACTCATAGAGTCGTGCAAGATCGATAGCGGCAGACAATGAAATTGGATTACATGCTTGCACCCCCATTAGTATTGCCTCCTTTAACCCGCTCACAAAACACCCAACTTGTGGTTCTTCGGACAAATGGCCAGCTCGATGTAACAAACGATCGAAGTCCCTTTGGTAATCGCGGATGCTTCCTGTTTGCTTAAGCTTGGTGAGATCCCCAAAAAAATTTTGGTATCTTGAAGGCCCATATCGTAAATGTAACTCGTACTTGAAAACTTCCCAATTGATGCCTTCTCGTCGATTTTTGAAACATTGATACCACAATTGGACATCCCCATCCAAGTGATAATCGGCCATGGGGAGTTTTTCCGCCTCTTTCGTGCCTTGAAACTCGAAAAAATTGTTCCACTCGACAAATCCACCCAGTTGGATCATCCATGCCATTATAGCGTGGAAAGTCCAACTTAGTGATTTTGGGTGCAAGAGAACCTCCTCCTGAAAGGGTACGACGGGGTCCACGAGAGGACTCGGCATCATCGTCATATCCTCCACTACGCGTAGAAAAACGAGCAAACATGCTCTCCATATGTTTCAAAAGATGTTCTTCACTAGCCTTCATAGCTTGTTGTAGTTCCTTTTGGCCCACAGCCAATGAGCCAAGCTCATTCTCCACTTGCTCGAGACGGTGGTTCGACATGCCTGGCTCTAATACCAAGTTGTTACGTGCCAGAGTTTGCGACCTCATAATGGGTTTATGAATGGGTAGAGAACAAGGATTGTTCTTACATACTCTACCTATGATGGAATTTTGTAAGACACTTCGAGGGATCTTAGGCTTTCTTATTTGATTTAATTCGAGGAAAACCACAACTCCAAATCAACACAAGGTTGAAGATAATACTAATCATATATTATTTATTCTTGGCCTCAAGCTATTAAATAGCTGAACAGCTTTTGATGGAATAGGCAATAACTTATTCTTACAAAAAAGGAAAATTACTGTTAGATAATTCTAACACAAAATTATTAAAAGGAAATAACATTGATCGAAAGGAAATAACATTAATTTAATTGTTGATGGTAAGAATCAATCACTCTCATCCCATGATTCTTGGTCCCTGACATTGTCTCAATCATTATTTTTAGAAATCCTGTGCTATGGAAGGGATGATGTGTTACAAACTCACAGCTAATAGTTGTAGTTTTGTACGGTTAAGCCAAGAAGAGGAATAAATAAGACGGAACACTCTTTATCTTGTTTTATTTCCTGCAAACTGAGTCAGGCTGTTCACAGCTGTTGCTTTAATACATTTTCTGGTCGATGCCTTATGCAATTATATATATATATATATATATATATATATTTTTTTTTTTTTTTTCTAATAGCAACCAGAGAAGAAGACTTCCATCTGTTTCTACCAAAGCTGAGCACAGGATGGCAAATCTTTATGAGTAATTACTTGGTCTTTGGTGTTCTATTCTACATTGAAGGTACCAAGGTGGCCATTTTTTTTTGTAAGAATTCAGAAACAATACAATCTATTTACTTTCATCTTTCAATCTTTGTCTTACAATCTCAGTAAAGATCTCAATAAATAACAGTGATTTATACGAACAGAAGAAAACTTCATGGGATCTTAATTAAAAAGTTCTTCCGCGTCATAAAGATGGACAAGCTGATTAATTGATAAGACTCATCTGAATTATCTTACCAGGAAGCATAAATTGAGTGCCTCCGGGCCTGGCAATCAAATGGGTTATTTGAGGCCATTCTCCATGTTAACATAAATGAAATGGTGACTCAAATCCACAACTCTTCATATCTATGGGATTTGGTGGCAAGATGGAACGACAACAGTCAACAGGCATCTCTATCTCTATCTCTATCTCTATCCCTCCTACGCAACCCACTGTCATTCCCAAGTGGTCCATTTGGACTTTTCATATTCTTTTATGCCTTCACAAAATCACAATTACTGCCCCCTTTTTGTAGCCAAAATATAAAAGGATAGAAAACCCAGAATCCCAAATTGTCCGCCTTATTTTGCTAACAAAGCAGATTTTAAAATGAACAACAGGTAAGTTATTGGAAATATTGAAAACATCCAGCTAATATCTGACTCAGACTCTTACCCATTTCATCATCCTCCATACTTTATAATAATTGAATTAATAATAAAGACAGCCACTTTTCCACTTAACATTTCTGACTGTAATTACCATTTTCAACTTTATCTCCTGTTTTGCTAACAAAGTTAATTACTTGCTAAAAAAAAAACTAATTTCCTCACATTGACGGATTGAGCAATCACAATCCCACAAGGCGACCTTTTGCTCTACTAAAATGACGATTGTATCCAACACCATTCAACTTCTATATCAAAATAAATCAGTAACGTTAAAATATTGGCTTATATAAACGAGAGAATTGATGGCGATGAGCAGAGAACAGAGCAGAACATAACAGAGGGCCAGAAAAAGTACCCAATTGGGCAACCATCTTCTTCGAGTTGGTTGCTTTTCCCGAGATTCTCATAACCACAAAACGCACCGTCGTATTAGCCCCATCACTTTTATCTCTCCATATTTGTGTCTTAAACTTCTTTTTAAATCTCCACTCTTCTCTCCATTTCACTCACCAACTGCACTCTGCACTCTTCATTTCCTCGGCCTTCAACATGGTGGCCGATTCCAAGGGTAAATCGGACATTTCCCTCGCTGGTACTTTCGCCAGTAGCGCTTTTGCCGCTTGTTTCGCCGAGGTGTGTGTCAACTCGAAGTCTTGTTCATTGTTTTATGTATCACTTGATCATGCGTTTCTTTGAGACGTTTCGATTGGATCGAGTTTGTTGTGATCTTTGTTTTAATATTTTACTCGAAAAATGGTTGCAAATAGTCAAAGTTTGGATTTTTTTTATCTTATGTTGTTTATGGGTATTTTAGTTTTCGTATTGAATGCATCAAAAATGAAATTTTGAACGCAATGGCTTTTGTTTGTAAAGTCAAATCTTCAAATCCGTATGTATTCTGTAACAATCAACTCGTAATCTTGATTTTAACGTTGAAGTTTCTCATAGTTGGCGAATCATATTGATATGTTTGGGAAAATATTTTATGGAGATGCTGATCAATTTGGGCCTGGAGAAACTCCGTGCTGTTTGTTTAACTGTTTTTTTTTTTTTTTTTTTTTAAATTCCATTGATATACTATCATCTTAATTGTTGAATTCCAGTATATGTAGGCTTTGAAACACATTTTACTTATCCAATTTTATGTGATTATGTGTAGATTTGCACTATTCCTTTGGACACTGCTAAAGTTAGGCTTCAGCTGCAAAAGAAAGGTGTAGCTGGAGATGCATTGGCCTTACCGAAATACAGGGGTTTGTTGGGAACAGTTGGTACTATTGCTCGGGAAGAAGGTCTAGCGGCACTCTGGAAAGGAATTGTACCTGGATTGCATCGTCAATGCTTATTTGGAGGGTTGAGGATTGGATTGTATGAGCCTGTAGGTTTTAATTCGCCATCTAATGTGCACTTATTATCATAGATATCTTCTTTGCTTTCTAATATCTGATACATGGTTGTCGACCGTGTCCTCGACAGGTTAAAAACTTCTATGTTGGTAGTGACTTTGTTGGAGATGTTCCTTTATCCAAGAAAATACTTGCTGGGCTTACGACTGGTAAGTATAATGGTTGAATATTTTTGGAATTATGTTTCGCTTCTTCAAGTTTAGAGGAAAAATCTTATCAACATTTATTGGATTTTTGTATATGATATAAGTTGACTTTAATCGTATAGTTGGATGTTTTTCTTACTCAAGAAATGCTTTAATTTACTTTTGTACCTTTTCATTTTCTGATTTCTTAAGATTTGTCTCATCAATAGGTGCTCTAGCAATCACAATTGCAAATCCAACTGATCTTGTCAAAGTAAGACTTCAAGCTGAAGGAAAATTACCTCCCGGTGTGCCAAGGCGCTATTCAGGAGCATTGAATGCTTATTCTACAATTATGAGACAGGTTGTGCATCTAACCCTGGAAAAATTAAAATTGGAGTGATGCTTTTAACTTTATCCTGTGTTCCTAACTCGGTTCTGACTTTCAGGAAGGAGTTGGGGCTCTTTGGACTGGACTTGGACCTAATGTTGCACGAAATGCTATCATAAATGCAGCTGAACTAGCCAGTTATGATCAAGTGAAGCAGGTTAGCTAAACAAAAATTTGTCTTGTTGTTGAACCTTTCTCATCTTAATTCTGACTTTTATTCAAATTCTAAAATATATATATATATTCGAATGCAGACAATTCTGAAAATCCCAGGGTTCACAGATAATGTTGTCACTCATCTCCTTTCTGGTCTTGGAGCCGGATTTGTCGCTGTCTGTATTGGTTCTCCAGTTGATGTGGTACTCTATCTACTTTCACCTCTGAATTCTTTCAGATAAATAATGATCTAGTATTTCTGGTTCCACTTTTATCATGTAATTTTGTGAAAGAGAACATGCATAGCAATTTACGTTATGATTGTAAATATTGCAAATTACTCTTGGACTCTATATCTTCTAAGCAACTATACAAAATCGGTGGGCTATACTCTTAAAGTATGCTCATATGAGAAAATACCATGGCTGGGGCTTGATTTTCTTTTAATATGGTTCGGGAGTAAAGGATATGGCTATCTGTTTGTCTGTCAACTGTTTTACTGACTTGCCTGCTTCTGTTAAGTGTCCTAACATCAGGCTAATTTATTTGATTTCGCTGTTTTTTATTTTTATTTTACAGGTTAAATCTAGAATGATGGGGGATTCTGCTTATAAGAGCACACTGGATTGTTTCATTAAGACTCTGAAAAATGATGTATGCTTGCTTCTTCTCATATCCTTTTTACACTCTTTTGTTAATGAGACAATTTTTTCTATTCTACTACTGGTATAAAAGCGTACTTTATTACATTCTTATTTGCATTACAATATAAACCTTTTCCCTTCATGCTTCGCAGTTGAGGCATTTAATTTATCTGGTTCTTGATTTTAATGTGTCACCCCTTGAGTACTTGAGTGAAGGCAACAACCCCAAACAGAAGAGTCTTCAGCTTACAGCATTTGATTTTTTGTTGCAGGGGCCTCTTGCATTTTATAAGGGCTTTATCCCAAACTTCGGAAGGCTAGGATCTTGGAACGTAATCATGTTTTTAACCTTAGAGCAGGTAATTGTTAACCTTTTTTATTATCCTGATTTGTACCTGTTTGCAACTGTATGTTTTATCCTCTTCATCCCCTATAGCTGCGAGAAGGCGAAATTCGTCAACTTTAGGGTTGAGCTAATTATGGTGTTATAATGGGAAATAGGAGGTTCCTGCCTGAATAGAATTATTCTTCCTGTCTCTATGTGTGCTCGATGACAGAGTGATTTTCTTATTTTTTTTCTCTTTTTTTTTTTTTTTTTTTTTTTTTTACATGACAGGCTAAAAAATTTGTGAGAAGCATAGAATCATCTTGAGCTTAAAGGCGTGATGATCAATGCTTTAGTTCATGAATTCTGCATAGCGATTGCCATGGAAGCTATACAGGGAATAATAAAGTCCTCAGGAGTCATTCTTCTTCTCATTTTAACTATTAAGATGAGGAATCCGGCAAGAGACAGACACAATCAAATGAAAAGAGATTTTTAGGAACTCAGAAACTATATCAATAATTGTGAATTTCATTTCTGGGATTCAACATTGTTTCAATTGATATTGCTGATTTTACCCCCATGGATGGGGTCCGAAATGCTACTTTTTCTTCTTGGTGGTTCCATTTAAAATTATAAAGTTGTTATTTTTTTACTAGTTAAAGCTTCTCCATAGAATAAAATTTCTTGTCTTCTACCATTAAAGGAGAAGATTTTGGTTCCAATATATATAATACTGGTTGGTTGAAGGAAAGTTACTGGAATAAATAAAGTATGAATGAATAATGAATTAATATTCAATCTCAAAGTAAATCCTCATACTATTTTAGTTATTCTGCTTTTTTTTATTTTTGCTTTTGTCTTAGTATTAGTCCACTTCCAATGTTGGAACTTGGTTGATAAGAAGTTTTTTTTTTTTTTTTNGTTTTATCCTCTTCATCCCCTATAGCTGCGAGAAGGCGAAATTCGTCAACTTTAGGGTTGAGCTAATTATGGTGTTATAATGGGAAATAGGAGGTTCCTGCCTGAATAGAATTATTCTTCCTGTCTCTATGTGTGCTCGATGACAGAGTGATTTTCTTATTTTTTTTCTCTTTTTTTTTTTTTTTTTTTTTTTTTTACATGACAGGCTAAAAAATTTGTGAGAAGCATAGAATCATCTTGAGCTTAAAGGCGTGATGATCAATGCTTTAGTTCATGAATTCTGCATAGCGATTGCCATGGAAGCTATACAGGGAATAATAAAGTCCTCAGGAGTCATTCTTCTTCTCATTTTAACTATTAAGATGAGGAATCCGGCAAGAGACAGACACAATCAAATGAAAAGAGATTTTTAGGAACTCAGAAACTATATCAATAATTGTGAATTTCATTTCTGGGATTCAACATTGTTTCAATTGATATTGCTGATTTTACCCCCATGGATGGGGTCCGAAATGCTACTTTTTCTTCTTGGTGGTTCCATTTAAAATTATAAAGTTGTTATTTTTTTACTAGTTAAAGCTTCTCCATAGAATAAAATTTCTTGTCTTCTACCATTAAAGGAGAAGATTTTGGTTCCAATATATATAATACTGGTTGGTTGAAGGAAAGTTACTGGAATAAATAAAGTATGAATGAATAATGAATTAATATTCAATCTCAAAGTAAATCCTCATACTATTTTAGTTATTCTGCTTTTTTTTATTTTTGCTTTTGTCTTAGTATTAGTCCACTTCCAATGTTGGAACTTGGTTGATAAGAAGTTTTTTTTTTTTTTTTAATTTCAATTTTTCACATATAATAATATATTTTTTTTTTTGGTAAATGTTGAATCACCCATTACCCGAATTCGGAGAGAAATTTTTTTGATGATTCCTTATGGTCTGCTTTGGATTTTTTTTTCATTGGTTTTGAGTGGTTTTTAATTAGACTGGTTTTTGAGGTGTTTTAAAGCGTGTAGTGTATTTTTTTAGGGGTTTATAAAACACCTCAAATCTAGATATTTTGGTTGGTTTTAAAATTTTATTTCACAAATACTTTATTCCTTATAAAATTATCTTAATTATATCCAAAAAAATATTTAACCGTATTATACGTGTCTCTAACCATATTAAATATTAAATAATTTTAAACAATCATAAAAAAAATTTATTAAAATCTTATTTCTAGATACTTTTTTGAAGAAGTGGAGCTACAATTTTTCAATCATTTTAGATGTTGCAAAGAATGGCAAAGAAGGATAAAAAGATTTTATCATATTTGAAGTTATAAAATACTAACAAGTAGAAAACAAATAAAAAAACTCTTACTTTATAATTGAAAAAACAAAACTTTCGAGTATTGGTTGAAGTTGAGGTATTTTTATGGGTATATAAGTAAATTTATCATTTTAAAAAACTGTCAGAACCGTTAGAAAATGAACTCTCAAGCATAGGTTGGATATTTTAAAAACCACTACTAAAAACCTTTCAAAATCGTTACAGTGGTTTATACTCAAAACTGTTATGATTGTTTACTTTCATAACCACTATCATGAAACTCTCAAACGACCCTTATGCTCTTAAAATTTAACATTAATTAAATATTATTAATGGTTCATTTTTTTACATATTTATAAACTTATGCATTATAATAATAATAACAATAATTTACTTCCATAATTAGCATCTCTACATACATACATACGGATCTAATATATAATATTATCTATAGTCTCTTTTTAAATATAAAACTAAAATTTATATATATATATATAATCAGAATTGTCTCACAGGATCTATAATTGTCTTAAAAAGTCCAATATATATACATTATTCAACATTTTGAATAACAGTCAAGAAGACCTTATGGAAATAGAATATTTTCGTATAAAAGATGTAAAACAGAGATATTGGACATTCTAGAAAATAAATAAAAAAGCATTTCACAATTGATTTACTGAAAAAGAAAAATCAAATAAGTTTTAAATCAATTGAATTTATTTCATTTTTTTTTTCTAAAAAATAAAAAAAATAGAAAAACTGAAACCATTTGCACCTTTAGCACAATTTAGATAGATATATATATAAACAATCGTAGTTATTATAACTTTTATTTTTTTTAAAAAAAATTATAGTTATTATAGTAGTATAATTTAAATTAAATCCCGGTGAAGTTTGTTAAGGCCTCAATATTTTTTTTTTTTTTTTGGTAGTTGGGGTGTTCGGACCTATTTACATACACTTTTATTAATTATCATGAACACCCTATAAAAGTAAATGACCAAATAAGTCACAAAATGATAAGTGGTCTTCAGATTCAAATCTATAAAGTCAACGAAGAGAGTCAACTTCTAAGATCACCCTTAGGATGTGTTTGGTTGAAGGGTATTTGACATTACTGGGGGTAAGTGATCTTATATTACTTGATTAACATGTTTGGTTGTCAAGTAATATAAGATACCGGTAATCTTCAAATACCAATAGTGATTATTATTGATAATATTGGATGTAATCTGATTACCTCCATTTTCTTAAACATTTTAAGATTACCAGAGTTATCTTCTTTTGTTACAATTTTATCCCTTATTAATAAAAATTTTGGACAATAATGCCCCTATTTTAAAAGAAATTTACATTAATATCCTATTTCAATTTTACCCTTGTTTAATTAAAATTTTGGACAATAATGCCCTTATATTTAAAACAATTTACAGACCACCATTGCCACCCAGCCATCACTGCTGACAACGGGCCAACTACCACGAACCGCCGCCGAAAAGTCGTCGGAGTCCCTAAAAAAGAACGAGATTCGGTGGGAGGCTCCGGGAGGCTTTGATATGGCAGTTTCTGGCCATATCAGGCTAGATCGATGGAACTGGCTGTTAACGGCCAGATCTTGTCCAGATCTGGCCAGAATAGATCTAGCCATATTTGGCCTGACATGGCCATTTTCGGCCATCAATATGGCTAGAAACGGCCATAGTGGAGCCTCTTGGTCACAGCGAGCGACTGATGGGGACTTTCGGAGACTTCCGACAGTGGTTTGCGGTGGCGGCAGGAGATGGCGGTGATTTCGTAATAAATTAAAGTTTTATATAAGCGAGGGTGTTTTAACTAAATCTGAAATATTGGGGGTTAAAAAAAATTATTCAAAAATTAATAATAAAAAAATATTATATTAATATTTGAAAAAGGGATAATTTAGTAATTTAAATAACATACCCACCAATTTATTCCCCATAACCAAACATATTAATATAACATATCCACCAACTAACCAAACACATTTTCTTAAAGATTCCTAGTAATCTTCTAAGATAATCTATCTTTTCAGTAATCTAACATTCCTGAACCAAACATCTTCTTAGGGTTAAGTTCTCAAAATTAGTTTTACATGTTTTCTATTCAAATAAAAGTAATACTGCACATATAATATTTATCATACAATATGATGTTGGATTAAAGTTTATTTTTTATTTAAAATCAGTCAATTATTTTTTATCATATTATATTGTATAAAAATATTATATGTGTGTATTATGCTTCAAATAAATGGTATAATGATGTGTATATAAATACGTATTCCTAAAACCCAACAGCCAACAGCACTATTAATCCTCAATCACCGAGTCACCGTCATCGCCAACGTCGTCGTTTTCACTCTCAAATAAACATTTTCCTTCTGTAATTGAACTCAGTCCGAGTCGCAAGAAAAACAAAAATTTCTGTCTACTGGCAAAGCCTCGCCGGTAAGTTTCATTATTTACTATTCCGCTTCATAAATTGTGCCTTTAAACATTATTGTGATATTTTTACATTGAAAATCGAAGCATGTAAGGACTCGTTTTGTTTTCTTATAACTTGTGGGTTTCAGGTTTTTCGTTTTTCCCCTAAAAATCGTATTAAATCCTCGCTGTTTCGCTTTTATTTTATTCTTTTTTATCTTGATTCTCACTATTTGCATATTTCTATTCATTATTATGGCATATTACATGTGGGTATCTCTTGTTTCACCGCTTTGAAATTTGAAGGATATAATTTTATTTTTATGGATTTTCTGCTTATCATTTTCTTTTGTGGATTTTGATTAATGTTTTCAACTTTCATGAGTAGTGGATTCTATTTATGCTTTTATCGAATTAGTTGAATATTCATTTTCAAGTTAGCGACTTTTTTATTATTTTAGGAGAGCAGAAATTGATTATTTTTGGTTGTTACATACTAGATTTGGAGATTGAAGCTGATTCAGTAGGTGGGCAAAAACTTTTAAGTTGAAGAATGCTTCAAATTAGGCTGAGGAAGATCCCATCATCAGATGGTGGTGGAGCAGTGAAGCCTTTGCCCGTGGAGACGGTGACAGTTGCGTGCCCAGACCATCTTGTTCTTGCTGATCTTCCTGTAGCTAAGGGCATTGGTGCAGCAACTGCAGCTTCACTTGTCAAGACTGTGGGTCGCAGGTCCAGACGCCAGCTTGGCGAGCGAGTCCATTTTTGTGTTCGTTGCGATTTCCCAATTGCTATCTATGGGCGCTTGGTAGGTTCTTATAATCACTGCTTAAATCTGTTAGTTGCTTTTTAGAAACTGTGAAGTGTTTATTTAAAATTAAACAAGGGCAAGGGAGTAAGTGAATAGTGATTTTTCTCTATAAATTGACAATGCAAC